TTTCTCCCCCACCCCCCAAAAACAGAATCCAGTGCTTTGGAAGAGAGTCTCCCCAGTTCATCCTTCTTGGGAACAAGAAGTCCTTCTCCAGCCTTCCATCCTTAGACCCAGGAACCTCTGAAACCCCTCTTGAGTTCCTCAGGAGCCCCAGTTTCTCCTCTGTCCTCCCCTTTTTCTGGTGGGGCTGGAAGAGTTAACGCCTGTGGAGAGGGAACCTAAGGGGAGCCTGCAGATCACACTGGCCAGATGGGGCTTCGCTGTCGCCTTTGCAGGAGGCTCAACATAATTGCACTGCCTGTCACTCCTGCGTCCCGATATCTGTCTCCCCGGCTGACCCTGCGCACCCGCTATTATATTGGTTCCTGTTGGGCTCGTGGAACCTCATCACTTATACATGCAGCTGGGGGAAGCAGACTGGGCTGAGAGAAACAGCCCCTCCCCTTAGTTCTCCTCCACCCTCAGCCAGGGCCTTTTTATGAACTGCCTCCCTGGTGTTGGATCTGAGATGGCAATAGGCAGCTACCATTCAGAATGGGTGGAGGTCCCTGGAACTCCCCCCCCCTCAGGCATGCGATCCAGGTTCTCTGGTGATAGAGGCATAAGAAAAACAACCAGTGACCTGGGAACTTTATTCTGTTCCTGGATCCCTCTTTCCTCCACAGGAGATGGGGCTGGAGGTGGGGACCTGGAGGAGGTTGTCTGAGATGGGTCAGAATTGAATTCTGAGAGCCAACCTGAATCAGCCTACTGAGGTATGCACCCCTACCCCATATCACAACTCAACTTCTATTCTCCTGTACTTTCTGACCCAATGTCATACTTCCCCAAGGGGAGGGGGCTTAAATTATGGAGGGCCTTTCATGAAAGCTCTGGAAATGTCTAAATTAAAATGTCATGGTGGGAATGGAAATATTTTAATGGATGCCACTGGGGAGATGTCCTTACTGTGAGTAACACAGCTTTTCAGAGCTTTCCTGGACAATTAATCAGCCCAGAGAAATGAATGGATGTCCTAGCTGGGTGTGGTGGTGGTGCACACCTTTAATCTCAGCACTCAGGAGGCAGAGTCAGGTGGATCTCTGTAAGTTCAAGGTTAGCGTGGTCTACAGGGTGAGTTCCAGGACAGCCAGGGCCACACAGAGAAACTCTGTCTCAAAAAGAAGAAAAAAAGGAAGGAGGGAAGGAAGGAAGGAAGAAAGAAAGAAAGAAAGAAAGAAAGAAAGAAAGAAAGAAAGAAAAGAAAAGAAAAAACAACAAAGGTCCTAAAATGCAGCAAGACTTCCCCAAACACACTACACCCACTGCTAGCCAAACTGGGCCTCTAAGCCAGTCTCTGCTTCTGATACCCAGCTCCCTACCTAGTCCAAGCCAAAGCTTAAAGACTAGAAAGAAAATATGCCTTTTATATACCTGGTCTTGATCCTAAAGTCCTTTTCTGTGTCCTCCCTCTCAGGGACGTGCCTGGTGGGGTAGAGAGATAAGGGCCCCAATCCAGGGTCCAAAAGACCAGTGTTCCTGTCCTGACTCTCCCTTTACTGACTGTATGATCCTGGCCAAGTTACTTAACCCCTCTGTCTGTCAGTGTCCTCCTCTTCCATGTGGAAAGGGGGGTGCTTATTCCTTAGACTCTAGTAAGGATTCGATAAGTAGAATACAAAAGCACATAGTCCATATCAGTACCCAGGCAATCACAACAGCATCCACCCATCCTTCATTCCCTTAGCATATATTTCAAGATCCTTCCAGAAATCTGGATGTCCTCTGTCCCCCTCACTATCCTTTTAGGAACCCTCTCATCAATCACTAACCTAAACTTTTGCCTGTCCAGTCTAGGCCACTATCACGTCTTACCTGGCCCACAACCGCCTCCTAGTCTCCTCCACAAATATTCTATTTTAATCTTTCTTCCCCACAGGAACCAGAGTAATCATTTGCATTCAAAAATTCAGATCATATTTCTTATTCAACATCCTTCACAAGTAGTTTTTAATTGCCTTGGGATAAATTGTAAACTCCGTCATAGCCCACAGGACCCCACAAGCTTAGTCCTTAACACAGGCTGTTCCCTCCAGTTACACAGCTCTCTGATCCCCCTCCCCAACCCCTGTGACAGCTAGTCCCTGACTCCCTTCATCAGGGCTTGATTTAAATAGTGCCTGGATCAGGAGGTGTCCCTTTTTTCCAGCCTCCAGAGGACTCCTGTGTGGATGTCACACATTCTCACCCATTCCCAGGCAGCTTGCTTGTCAGGCTTAATAGCCACCACTTGTTCAATAGTCCAGAGTCCAGTGATACATTGTAAACTACATGAGATCAGAAGCCTTTTCTTGCTCATCATTAAGTCCTGTAGTAATAAATTGGACCCCTAGTCAGTTAAAATTGTGTTACAGAGTGGATAGAAGAAAGATGAATGAATAGACAGGTGTAAAAAACAATGCTTCCTTTGTAATACTTCCCTAGAGTCTTGTGGGCTCGATAGTCTTCATCTGTGCGTCATTTATGCTTCATAACACCTAGTACAAACCACTACCAGAACCTGGACTTCTCAGCTATAAAACAGGCAGATAACAGTATCTGCCTTGAGGTTTGTACTGTGGAGAAATGATAAATGGGCATGGTGGCACATATCTTTAATCTCAGCATTTAGGAGGCAGAGGCTGGTGATCTCTATGAGTTCAAGGCCAGCCTGGTCTACATATCAAATTCTAGGACAGCTAATGTTACCTAAAAATAAATAAATTAAGATGTATAGTAACTTTAGGGGCTAGAGAGATAGTTCAGCATTTAAGAGCATTGGCTGCTGTTCTAGAGGACCTGGGCTCAATTCCCAGCACCTATGTGGTAGCTCACAACTGTCTATAACTCCAGTTTCAAGGAATCTGATGCCCTCTTCTGGACTCCATAGGCACCAGGTACATAAGCAGTGCATGGACATACATGCAGGCAAAATACTCAAACATACAACATAATACGTTTTAAAAGACACTTAACAACTTAAGTCTATGGCAATCAACTGTTAATTTTAAAGAAGGAAATACATAAAAAGTGCTTGAAATGGGTTGTGGCGTTTAGTAAGTGGATAAAAACCCACATTGGCTGCAATACTATTACCTTAGCGCTTATAATTTCTTTCTGTCTGTATCTCCTGCCAAACAGTGCTTCCAATGAGCTCTTTTCGTGGGGTGGATCACCACTACTATCTTGCAGTACCCAGCTAGGTATCTCCAGTCAAGGCAAAAACAATGGAACGCAGCCCTGACAGCTGCTGAATCAAAGCTCAGCCCCCCTTCGTCACTCTCATCCTAGACACCGCTAACACAGTCTCTTACACATTCCCACCCACTCACATTCATTCAGGGCACCTCCAAACACCAAGGAATAGCTACTCATTCCTAAATGCAGCCATACATAAGTTGTAAGCCTTGTACTCCTTTTCCTGTGCCCTCGCAGAGCAATTCACGGAGAACATACTCCCACCACGAAAACGGAGGGGCTTGTATAGATGAATCCTCACTCAGAAGAGGGGAATCAAAGTCAGATTATTTCCCCCCTCAACAAGTACAGAATCTCAGCCGAAGCAAGGTACTGCCTGCCCTCCTGACAGAGGCTTCACTTCAGAGCCTTCCTGACCACCTAAGACTATGGTTTTAATCCCAGTATTTGAGAAGGAGAGGCAGACAAATCTCTGAGTTCAAGGCCAGACTGGTCTACAGAGTGAGTTCCAGGATGGGTCAGGGCTACACAGAAGAAACCCTGTCTCAAAAAAAAAAAAAAAAAAGGAAAAAGGAAAAAGAAAAAAACAATATAAGAAAAGGTCTGTGCGCCCTCTCTGAATCTAGAAACATACATACACCCTCTGTCCTCTCCTAACCCAAGCAGTCTTCAGAAAAAAGACAGTGTAGCACACAGCCAACTTAGGCCAAGGGTGGGTGGTAAAAGGACTTTCTTAGGTTTGAGGTGACACAATTATATTAGCAACTAAGAGTCCACATTCTACATACATTGTATCTCATTTAATCCCTCACAACCACTCTCTCTCCAGAGGAGGACACGGGAGGTAGGGAAGCAAGGCCATTGATCTAAGATCACCACGTGGAATTGGCACCTAGTTCTTTAATTCCAGAATCTTGGATCTGGCTTTTGAGAACGAAGAAAGCTTGGCGGAGTTTTTTATGAATTAAAATGGGAGACGCTGTTAATGCAGCACCCTGTTAATCCATCCAGTCCTGAGCTCTCTGATACTGGGGTGCGGAGCTCCAGGGGGTAGGGATGGTCTCCTGTGGGAACCTGGGCGGGGCCGGAAGAGCCCGGGGGAGGAGCCCGGGGGAGGAGGCGGTGGCTCAGGCTCACAGGCCAAGATGGCTGTTAATTAAAGTGCTGGCACCAGCTCCTTTCTGCAAAGTTTGAAGCCGTTATTTTCCACTCCAGCGAAGCGGGGAGAATCCGGCTGGGCTGACAGAGACGCCACACCGCGCCAGGGGAGCGGGCGCGCTTTAGGGGCGGGGGGCGGAGCACGATGGGGCGGCAAGCGCGCCTCTGGGACGGACGCCCCGGCGAGCGCGGGGGTGGCCGCTTTCGTCCCTTCCCCAGAGGCCGCAGGCTGTTGATTTGGTTCCCCCGCCCGCTAAGCTACGGCTGCGGGCATCCAAGGAACGCCAGTAGTCTAAGGAACGAGGGGCTCCAGCGCGTGTGTTGAAGGCTGGGAGGTCTGGACAAATCATACTCCCATGACCGCACATGTACCCCTCGGGTCACCAGCCCGGTTGCTATAAAGGCAATGACACTTAAGAAACTGTCCCAAGGGACCAGGAGGTCACCTACAGCTGAGAGCTCAGGGCTACTCGGTCTGTGTCTGCCGGGGGAAGCGTCCGGGCACTAAGGCATGCTCACAACACCTTGCATTTTGGACAATTACTAGTGCCCAGAGACCCTGTCACGTTGAGGTTGGAACAGCTGGGAGCGAGGCCACAGGCTGGAATCCTACCTCCACCATATCTTACTTTCGTGACTTGGGGCAAATCTCTTTAACTTCGCAGAGCCTCTGTTCTCCATCTGCAAAATGAGAATAATGGTGGGCTTTATATCTAGACTGATGTGAAGATTTAATGTGCTCATACATACAAAGCATCCAACACAGTTTGCTTTCGCTCCCTCCGCCTTGGTGATGCAAGTCATTCTGACCTGGGTTAGTACTTGGAAGTGTCTCTGTCCCGCCCACTCGCACTCCCACCGTTGGTTATTCCCGTGGCCCTTAGTCTCAGTCTTCGGTAGGAATAGTCACAGAATCAAGTGGGCAGTGGGAGGCCAGTGGGAATGAGTTGGGAGGAGTCTTGCAGCCGAGAAGAATGAGCTAGAGTGTCATTGTTGGGGCCCGAGGCCTCAGAAAGACCCAGTCCTCGGAAAAAGGATGGGGAAGGAAGAACATTGAGTGCAGCAGCTTGAGCTGGGCCTCAAATAATATGACAAATACTTTGATGGAAGCAGACACATTTCAGTTTATGCAACCTAAACACTTTACTCAAGGAAGAGAGCCTCATACAACCTGATGGGGGTGTAGGAGTTAGGGAGTCCCCCAAGGGGGTAAAGGAGCTCAACCCATACTCTTTTGGCGGATAGAAAATAGCACTAGCCAGGACTGGTTAGCATGGGTGTCCCTCGCCTTCTCGGGGTCCTATTTTTCCCTTGTCTAGTTAGTAGCTGGGATCAGAGGAAGTCGCTGGGGAAAGGCCCCAGGCAGAGGCAGCCTAGCCGATAGCCCCGGGGCAGTAGAAAAGAAGGGGTTGAAGACGCTGAGAGAGGGTGTCCTCGAACAGTTAGCATTAAAAAAGAAGAAAAAAAAGACGAGGTGGCTGCTATTAGAATTCAGAGATCCCTTTAGGCACCCTAAAAGCAAAGGATCCATCCCGACGGGTTATCTGGATGCCTGGGTGCCCACAGAATGAATGGCCCCTCCTTAGTCTTCCTTCCCGGCTTTGGCCTTCACCCTGTCCCTTTTTCTCGGTCTGCCCTCTCGCTCCTCACTTTGCACCCCCCCCCCCCCCACACACACACACACTTCAGCATCTCTTTCTTTGTCCCCGGAAGATAGGAAGATAGTGCTTCAGCCTCCTGCAGGTGGTGATCCTTTGCACCCGTCACGGTTTTCCTCGGGACTCACCTCCCGGGACAACCATCCCGATGCCACTTTGAGCTTTCTGCCTTTCCCTCCGGTCCGCTCTTAGTCCTGCCCCTCCCTTCCCTCTGGGATCCTCTGGTTTATCTGACTCTTGCCCCCTCCCCATTTCCGAGGCTCAGTCTCCAGCTACCTCTGAAGCGCCCAACGGAGTCTCATAAACCCCGCCCCTCTCTGCCCCTCCTGCCTCACGACTTCCGCGGCCCAATTAGGCGCGGGTCCCGCCCGCGTAGCCACCCCTCGCCTTCTCCGAGCCCGGCGGAACGGGTAGGCGGAGCCCAAAGAAGGAGGCGGTGGCCCCAGCCCGAGAGAGCGGGAGGAGCTAGGCGCGAGGCGGGAGGCGGCGGCCGCAGCGTTCAGTCGGGCAGCGCAGCGGGAGGGAAGCACGAGGCCGAAGCTGGCTGCTGGGCTCCGCAGCGCAAGCAGCGCAGCGTGGCGCCCGGGCCCCGGCCCCATGCCCGCAGCCCCGCCGGACCGCCCTTGAGCGCGGGCATCAGGCCCGCGCCCCCTACCCGCCGGCACCATTGCCCCGACGGCGCGGCCGGGTGGCCCGGCTCTCCCCAGGCTCCGCGCCGGCCGGAAAACGCTGCTGGCAGCCGCTGCCGGGGTGGTGATGCTGCTCGTGCTGGTGGTGCTCATCCCGGTGCTGGTGAGCTCGGGCGGTCCGGATGGCCACTATGAGATGCTGGGCACCTGCCGCATGGTGTGCGACCCCTACCCCGCGCGGGGCCCCGGCGCCGGCGCGCGGTCCGACGGTGGCGACGCTCTGAGCGAGCAGAGCGGTGCGCCCCCGCCCTCCACGCTGGTGCAGGGCCCCCAGGGGAAGCCGGGCCGCACCGGCAAGCCGGGCCCCCCAGGGCCTCCAGGGGACCGGGGTCCTCCGGGTCCTGTGGGACCGCCCGGGGAGAAGGGTGAGCCAGGCAAGCCCGGCCCTCCTGGCCTGCCGGGTTCAGGAGGCAGCGGCGCCATCAGCACGGCCACCTATACCACGGTGCCACGCGTGGCTTTCTACGCCGGCCTCAAGAACCCTCATGAGGGTTACGAGGTGCTCAAGTTTGACGACGTGGTCACCAACCTAGGCAACAACTACGATGCGGCCAGCGGCAAGTTTACATGCAACATTCCTGGCACCTACTTTTTCACCTACCACGTCCTTATGCGCGGCGGCGACGGCACCAGTATGTGGGCGGACCTCTGCAAGAACGGCCAGGTGGGCCATGAGGGGGCATGGGGCTGACCTGGGGGCAGGGCACCCAGGGAGCCCCAGGAGAATGCGTACTGAATCAGACAGGCACACCAGGCAGGCGTAGGTGGTGACCCTAAAGCGGCCCCCTTAACTATCCTGTGAAGAATGATTGCAATTAGCGGGCACCCCTGACTCTTCAGCCCTTGGGCTCGAGCTCTAAGGCAAATGCTGCAGGGCACCCGCGGAGTGGAAATGCGTAAAGCTAAATCCAACTAGTCAGATCATAGGGCTCTAGGGCGCGCGGACTGGTCCTTTGGGGTTTGGCCCTTGGGAGACTGATTCAGGCTGATTTCACTTGAGAGCTAAGATGCAAGCTGACGCCGGCTTTAAGGGAACAGCAAGTATGTGCTTTGGGGCACGGATAAGGAGAAGCAGTCTCCATGCCGGAGGGTGCTAAGCCGAGTGGCTGTGCGCGCAGGAGAAGGAGGGCTGCAGATGTTTTGGGCACAAAGGCAGAGGGAGTTCGGTGCCCAATAGCCTTAGCTGCAGTACGTCTCTGACTCTAGAGAAGGAACCATCGAGCTAGTCTGATGCCCTTTGCAAACCCCCTGGAATGCTCAACCTTTTCCCGGAGTGTCAGAGCTATCCAGCGCCTCCGGGGAAAAGTTTCCTCCAGAGGCGGGGCAGAGGGATAGAAACTCGCCTCCTTACGGTCTCCAGGTCCAACTCCTCCACTATCCTAGAAGACAGAGAGATGGAAGAGTCCTCTCGGAGGGGGAGGGGGCGCGCACAGTGTCTCCCTTGAAAACACCCACCCTGGGTTCCCAGTTCCCAGCGCTCTCAACTATGGGTTTCATGAGCCCCACCCCGGGGGTGTGGTCGGGCTGAACCTTGTCAGAGGCCAGGGTCAGGATTGAGGTAGGCTAGAGGAAATGAGAAGGAATCCATCTCTGTGATTGAGACTCCAGATCTTCTCGGAACCCCTCCCACTGCAGCACTGCCCTGCTTTGGGATCTGTAAAGTTTGGGGATAGGAGAGTGGGCAGAAAGCCTATCGGTGTGGGAATCTGCCCTCTTTTTCTTTCTTCTGCCTGCTTCCCCCACTCCCTCTATGGTTTCTGCCTCTTTCTCTGTCTCTTGACCATTTCTTGCCGGAATCCGCCATTCATCTCTGTCTCTCTTCTCTGGGTCCAACCGCCCCCCCTTCTCTATTACTGGGTCTCTCTCCCATTTGCGTCTATCAGGCTTCTGCTGTCTCTCCTCTTTGTCCTTGGTTCCTGACCAAATGGGAAGGCTCCAGAATCCAGCAAAGGCTCATTCTGCGGACAGCCCCACAAGTCCCCTTATTAATCACCAATAAGGCATGCAGCAATGTCACCTTCATTGATGCCATTCCTTCCTTCCTCAAAGAAAGTTTGAGCTGGCCCCAAGCCGATGGTTAGGACACCAGGTCTTGCTGGGATCGAAGAGTGGTTACTAGGCTCTTAGACTGTGTGCCACCACAGGGGGTCCCAGCAGGGTCCCAGCAATAGGGCCTGAGGAGACTCCTAAAATAGTAAGTGCATGTCATGTCATGTACTGGGGCCACTGGCCTTAGTCTCTTGGAATTGAAACCATTTCCCAAACCTCTTTCCTGTCCCTCAGAGCCTGGGTGTTAGCACAGCCCGAAGAAGAGTTCACAAGCTGAGAGGACCACAGGCTTCCAGAAGTTCACTGAGGGCTATTTTAGGGTTTCAAAGAGGCATCACATTAACAGTTACTTAAGACATCCCCCCAAACAAACAAACAAAAATAAGATTAAGAACAACAATGGAGTCTGTGGCCTCCTCCCCACACCCTTTTGTGACTTCTTCCGGATTGTCTAAGAGGCTCACTGAATCTCAGCAACAATTCCACATATCTGTACAGGAAACAAGACTTGAGGCTTGTTTGGCACCAAGGGTTTAGCCCATTTGCCCTCTAGGGCTCTGTGACTTATGTGGCAGGGGCAGTAGTAGTGGCCATACAGTAACACACTCAGTAGGCACTGCATTCAGGGTGGGCTGGAAATGCATCTGGCAACTCCTGTCTCCAAATGTGATGCCTGAGAGAGCGATTAAGTGGGTCGGTCCTACCCTAGCTCAGAACCACTTGGCAGGAAGGAAAGGATGTTGAACCCTGGTTCACCAGGTTAGGAGACACCACTAAAGGGGAGGAAAAGGTCAGATTAGAGGAAGACTGGCTCAGAGGTAGGTGAGAACATCTAGCTAAGCAGAGAGAACAGTGGCAGGGCTGCACAATGGGCAGAAATGGAGGAAAGGAGTTGTTGCTTACCAGGCCTTCAGTTTGAGAGGCCACGGGGTGGGCGTTGTATGCCCAGTTTCCTGCTTGCAAAGAGGTTTCCATTCCTGTGGTAAGGCAGACCAATCCTGGGCGTTGGTCCTTCTCTGAGCAAGATGAGAAGAGAAAGGGTTTTCCATCAGCACGCCTAGTGCCTGAGGACCCTTGTCTAAGGTCCACTGCCCTCCCTCCATGGGGTTAGCCTCACATCAGCCTCCGCAGTCTGATGGCACCTACACATGAGAAGCCTGAGGGAAGGGTTTCAGGTTAAGCTGGTTGAGCTGTCCACAACTACCTCCAGAGCTGTGGTTCAGATAGGTCAGGGTGGACACAAAATCGATAAACATGGCTGCAGGCAGAGGCTGTGTGAGGACATGCCAGTGGTCAGAGTGCTATTTGTCCAGGGGCGGGGACATGAGGAGGTGAGTATTATACACATGGGTGAGGGCATGGAGGACAAAGGCTGCAGAGATATGTAAGTTGAGGACTGTGCCAAAAAACAAACAAACAAACAAACAAAAAAACTCCCGGGGATCAGCCTCACACGTGGGGGGTAGAAAGAGATCCAGCTGTCGTCCCCAACTTCTGGTACCATAGCAGTAAAGAGCCTAGTTCCTCACATAGAATGGACCCTGTAAATCTATGAGCCAAGAGTCCTCTATGAACTAGGCTGGCAACTTCCGGGAGCCACACCTACATATCCAAGACCCCCGGCATGGGGGCCAGAGCCCTTTCCCTGATTATAGCCTAGCAACTCGGTTCCCCGGGTCAAACCACTGCCTCAGTTTCCCCTCTCAGCAGTCTCTCCTGACAAGGAGCAGGCTGCTTTCTGGCTTCCATAGCAACCTCAATTCCCCCATCTTTCCTAGGGTTCCCAAGAGGAGCTGGATGCCTCAACGGCTTCCAGTCTTGAGTAGAGAACTGGGACCCCTGGGTTCCATTTCAGGATCTCCCACTGTCTAAGGATGGAAGGGCATAAATTCTTACTGCTTCCATGGATAATTAGGATAATTACAGCAACAATCATGGTGATGAATAAATAATAAACATAAGCAGAACAGTTCTGATGCCTGTCACGTCACCAGGAGATTCCTGTTGACGGATGACTGTGTTCTAATGGATTTGGCTATTAAAGAGCACACTGTTTTAATGAGTTAAGGCTAAATTAATCTGGGTAATAAAAATAATTGTTATTAGTAGTAATTTATTACCAAAGATAATGAAGTGCACGTGTAATAATAAATACTACCAGGATTAGGGCCCAGGGAACAATACAGAAGTTGGCTGCTTGCTTTCAGCTCTTCTCTGCTAGTTTAAAGCCCTATCAAGACTTTTTTTTTCCTTTACCATCTAAAGGTTTTTGTAAAGGTGGCAGTAGTGAGATAGGGACTTCTCATCCATTTTTCTAGACAGAGAAAACGAGGCCTTGAATAAGCAGAGTCTCTCTCTTATTTCTTACCACTTTTTTTTTGAGACTGGATTTCTCAGGGTATCCCTGGCTGGCCTGGAACTCACTGTGTAGATCAGGCTGGCCTACTTATAAAATTTTAATGCATGTGGGGACACAACACTTGTGGAAGTCAGAGGACAACTTGTAGGAGTCAGTTCTGTCCTACTG